GACACTGTTTGGCCTTCTGTGGAGGACATTTGACCTCTCTGCTTGGAGGGCAGCAAGGTCCCTTTTGGGGCACACCCTTGTTGGGACGGGAGCAGCATGTCTTCTGGAGACCTTTGGGAGGACAGCAAGCTTCTGGACAGGGAGGGATCTTACAACATTGTTTCTGCTGGGACATGATTCTCCAGGGGTTGAAGTAGCCTGCAAAGAGAAAGGGGGAAAAATAAGGAATGTATTGAGCACGAGTGTCTCGTTCCACCGGAGCCCCTCCAAAAATTTCCTCAAATCTACTTTGGACTTTTTTCTTTTTTTTCTTTTTTTGCAGAAATCCAGAGAAGATCAGCCTATTCTCTAAATCGACCATCAGAAGTCAGAAGAAGAAATCACGGATGGACACTAATCAAGGAGAGAAGCAACCTAGAACGGAACAGAAATTTCTTGACAGTGAGATCAATCAAACAATCAGACTTACCTAAATGTTTTGGGAGGAAGACACAGAGATGCCGAGGTCAGCCACCACCGGAACAGATTGAGGGGCCCAATGTTGCCGTCCGCCTTTTTATTCGGTTTCCCAGGCAGTGTCACTTCCTGCCCCCACCAGATTAAATTCGTTGAGTGCGGGTGTTAATTGGCTAATTGAATCTTCAATCAGCCCCTCCCCGATTCTTCATCCATTAGCAGATGTTTGTCTAATGACTTTACAACTGCTTCAGTTTGGTCCTTCGCCAGGAATAGAATATCTGTGCTTTTGCGACACGTGGCCTTGTGTTTTCAATCATGCCAGCAAACAAAACTTCCCTGGCGTGGTGCAGTCTATCTTAAAATATCAACGGCGGCGTTGAAAAGCTTTCCGCACAGTGCAATCCAAACACTTGTCCCAAACCAGATTTATCATCTAGATTTAGGAGATCTGGAGACGAGTTTGATGAAAACGATGTTTTGTGAGAATGGATTTTCAGTTCCTTCCTTTTAAAATATTAATTGTATTATTTTTTAATGAATACCACTAATATCACAGTAATGTATTAATCAGTATTCTACTAGCGGGTTAATATGTGTGTATGTGTTGGTCCTTTTTATTTAATGCACTTTTTTTCTTTTTTAATGTTTTGATTTTATTTTTTATCTTTTATTGGATTATTATTTTTTTTGCATTGTCAAATGATCATAAAATCTGCGAAAATTATCTTTTTTTAAACGTCAATATCTTTCAAGCGCTCAAAAGAGTAAGCTGATCTCTACAATCAGCACAGGGCTTGTCCCAAATCTAGTTTAAAACCTGGTTTCTAGGTCCAAACTAGTTTCCTGGAGCTTTTGACCTTCGGAGAAACTTAAATGCTCAGAGGCCGAAGTTATTTGGAGTTTGTGAGGCCTTCTTTCTGGCGAAAAGAAATTCCGAAATGCGGCCCTGTGGCTTGTTTCAAAGAGAAGGTTATAGGTTATGCCTTGGCATCTCCAAACCCAGAACAAATTAGTATGAATTAATGCAAATGTTCTCCTTTATATGCTAGGACTCTGTGTAATGAGCTCCCTCTGCTGATATAATTTGAGACTTTCTCCATTATGAAAATCACATTTTTCTCATTGTTGCATGGTTTGAAAAACCTGCAAAGGTTTCCTAGATCTTTCTTCCTTCTTTCCTTCCCCTCTCTTCTTCCCTCCCACCCTCCTATATTCCTTCCCTCCATCCCTCCTTCCATTCCAGCTTCCTTCCTTCCTTCCCTCCTTCTGTTCCTCCTTCCTTCCTCCCCCTCCCTCCCTCCTATATTCCTTCCTTCCATTCCTTCTTCCTTCCTTCCATTCCTTCTTCCTTC